TCTCCTCAGCCGCAGTGTTTCATAACTGTGAGAACTGTAATGACCAGGGGGCCTCTGGCTTGAAAGGAAATGTTTTCCTCAGTGGGGTAATGCCCTCCAGTTCCACAAAATCACGTATGCCCAACTGAAAAGGAAAACACCCCTCAAAGTTTCCTTAAGTAATGTGGGGACTTGGGTTCCCTTTCTTTGTGTGTGTTTCTTTTTAAAGAATCTTAGCACAGAGAGGAATGGCCGGAGCAAGGGGTTTTCGTTGTTTGCTCAATGTGCCTGTGGGAGAGTGTGCAAAGGGGAAGGAAGAGATGTCCCAGTGCTGGAGCAGAGCATGATCTTGACTCGAGGCCTTGGAGGTGGGCTGAGGCACAGTGGAGAGGGGGATGTCTATTTCAGCATCTCCAGCAACAGCAGCTGTTCTGCTGAAGGTATTGGCAATCAGATGGTTTTAAGTGACATTAACAAATCAGCTTGTCAGAGGAAAGGCATCTCTTCTGCTCTCTAAGGGGCTGTGTTCTGCTCTTGAGCCTCTTTGTGTGTTTCTGAGTGTTTCTTGTGTCAACAAAGCCCCAGACTCTCCAATTCAGGGCAGCTTCATCTTCTGCCAGGCTCTGTCAGGTGAGTCAGAGTATCCCATCCTCCCCATGCAAGCAGTGCATTGACTGTGCGGCTGTCTCACTTTCCCAGCTCCTATAGCCATGTGTCTTTTCTCTGCTGGGGCTCTGGGTTGGTGAGGAGCAAATCTCTGCCTGGAAAGACCCAGTGAGTCTGGCTGCCAGTGCGTACCTGGGGCGCTCACGTCTAGCCTTGCTGCTGGTCAGACTGCAGCATGCTGTGTCAAGCACAGGAATGTACCTGATAAAGCAGAACTTATTAGAAAATCAAAGTGAATGCAGACAGCAAGTGTAGCTTGCCCAAAGTTTTCTGAAACTAAGCCCAGTCTTTGGTGTGGGAGCCTGCCTGGTGCCTTCAGAAGTGTTTCAGACCTCAGGTTTCCAGGCTGTCTGCAGTTTGGTGCATGCTACCACCAAAACCCACCTCCTTCACATGCACTTTGAGCTCCCACCATGAACAGCCTTTTAGCCAACATGACCAAGCTGTTCCCGCTCAGCTGAATCATACCATTTCAGCCTTTGAGCCGGGACCATGTCTAGACAGTCAATTACTCTCTACTCTCCTGTCTCTTAAGAAACTTCAGTGCAAGTGTCTTCTTTGACCTTGCATGTATAATTATTTATCTTCCCTATAAATAATGGATTTCTTTGTTGCTGGTTGGTGCTGATTCATTAATATTTTGTTTCCTCCTTGTGTTCAAACATCTTTCCAATATCCTCTTGCACTAAAGCCTTATTCCTTTGTATGATCTTTTCCCTCAACTGATATTTCCAAATTTTCTGTAATTCCATTCATTTTAACTGTAGATCCTCTGCTGGCGATATCCGGGCTATCATGTCACCTCAGCTTAACCTCTGCTCACAAAGAATGGGATGATTTGCAGTTTCCCCCCGCTCACACTCAGAGAATCTCCTCTTTATGTCTGTCACCCTCATGTCAAGCACGTGCATTTCAGTTTTGCCATTTTATGTAAGGGAAAAGGAAAAACAGTGCACAGAACTGCAGGATGGGACCAGACCCTGGGGTGAGCATGCTTGAGTGTCTGTGGCAGGACCAGCATCCCATGGAACTCAAGTGAAGCTCACAGAGGCCCCCCCAGGCACTTCTCTAATTGAGGCGCTTAGTGTACATAATTAGCAAGGGCGTTAATCGTCCGTATTTAAGATCTCATCTTTCTCACTCTGCAAATTGATTGGTGCAGAGAAGGAAAAGCAGAGAAGCTGTCGGTCTCTCTCTGCAGACAGCTCACTGCACTTGAAGAAATAGTGTTTGAAAAGTGCAGTAAATTTGCTGTGATCTGCCCAACAGCACTACAGTGAAGGCAGAGCATGAGACTGATGGCAGCCAGCAGCCTTTTGCAGGCAGGACAGGAATCTCTAGGAATCACTATGGGCTCATCCCACAAAACATTTTCCCCAGACAAAGCTGCCCAAAGCCTGAGGTCACATTGGTTACGCACTGACCACAGACCCCACTGAGGACTCAAGCACAGCACACACCAGTGCCCATAGAACACCATTTGGGACAGCCCAGACACTCCATCCTCCCTGCGTTGTGCCTGGGAAATTATCCCTATAGTCTCCATGTGGTCTTGAGGTTAAGGGCCAGCACCACTTCATGGAGTGAAGAAGCCAGCACTGGAATGAAGAGGTTGAGGTGCAGGTCTCACCAGCCCTGTATGCTGCACAGCTCTTCACTGCAGGGTATGCAATGTACTCCAAACCCTGCAGCCATTCACACCTGCTCACACCCTCCTTGCACCACAGAAACCAGGAAATAGTCTCTTTGTGGCTGTTTGCAGTCATGCCAATGTGTTTTCCCACTGATGGAGTATTGCAAAATCACACAGAGCTGTTCTCTTCCTTTGGGAGCTAAAAATAGCTCTATTTTTTTCTTGACTTCACTGGGATCAGCAGGAGATCAACACACAGAGCACTAGGGATGACAGCCCTGTGATGCCAATGAGTTGAGGCAGATCTTGAGCAGCCCCTTTGGCAGGTTTTCCAGCAGTGGGATGTCCTCCCCACCTTGTCCTGCAGCCTCGTTCCATGCACAGCCTGCTTCTGCTGTTGGCAGACACTCAGCCTGGCAGCTCACACTGTGATGGGGAACTAAGCGCAGTAAACGAGCTGCTCAGGTGCACAGAGTCCGGGGCATGCACCATGGGTTGGACATGGAACATGAGAGAGGGACTGTATACACATCCTGCTGCCAGCCGGGCCACCTGCTGCTGTCTTGGGAAATCATCTTCGTACTGTGTCTGCAACTGGCTCTCTGAAATGCAGATGTTTGCATTGTTTATGGGAAGCCCCGGTTGCAGATTTCAATTTCCTCAGATTTCAGGTATTTTGGATCTGTGGTTTGACCTCTTGATCAGAGGCAGGGACTGTTGTTTTAACTGGAGAGCTGAGTTTAACATGATAAATCTCATTTTCACAATGGTGGGAAGAAGCTGGACTCATCCAGTGCGTTGGCACAGTTTAGAATATGGCATGCCTAGATTTCAAGAGCAGTTTGTTCCACAAATTACAGAATTCTAAAAGCCCAGTTTGCTACAGATTTGTGTCTTCTATCCTCTACAACCACACTTAAACAATCCTAGTTCCTCCACAATATTCCCTATGGTTTCCTCCACCACATTGCAGCTTCAGCTCCTTTCCTAGTTCCCACTTCCATCTGACCTTCAGTCATCTTCTGCCTCTTTACTACTGAAGTCTCACTTCTTTTCCACACTTCCATTTCCTCCATTCCAGCTTTCCCTAATACCTCCAGGACCTGATGCCTTTGGAAATCTGGCTGCACAAGAATCACTTTAGCTGGATCAAAACAGTATTTTTACAATTCTTGCAATTGTGGCAGAATGGGTTTGACTGGAAACTAAGCACACTTCAGAAGTCTTTGCAAGACTAAGCACTGCCCAGATCCAGTGCTGCACTGCTGCAGTGGGGGCAGAGCATCCTCTACCTTGATGGGGCTCCAGTCAAACTCGTCTAAAACCCCATTCAGCTTTGGAGGGTACTCTTCCCTTCTCCCCAATTCATGTGCCTCCTTGCACTGTATGAGCACCTCTGCATGTTGGAGCAGCTCACTGGTCCAGATGGAAATGCATGACTTTGTGCGGCAGGGCTCAGTCTTAGAGGGCCCACAAGTGCAGGCAACCCAGCCCACAGCTTTGTGAGCTCTTGTTCTGACACCAAGGATATGGCAGGAAGGGGAATGACAAGCACTGAGTGTGGTAGGCTGACATGGCCTCCATGCTGTGTGGAAGAGTAGGAGGAAGAAGAGGGGAGTCCATCCATTTTGGGACCCGTGCAACGAGGACGTGCAGATGGCATAAACTCTCACCCCAGAGCATACGAGGTGGGCACCGCACTGTAAATAAGCTCTGTGTTCTCAGATCCACACAGTGCCAGGAGACATCAGCCCTACTCTGTCAATGCTTTGAGTTTGCTCCAGCGCAGATTTCATCAGTGCCACTGGATACCTCTTTCTTCTTTCAACAGAAGACACCCAGGTTAACTCAAACCCTCGCAACTTCCATTGAGCAATGCTATCATATTAAAAGAAAACAAACAAATGGAAAAAAAGCCTAGTTCTGGCAGTTTGCATCATAATATGAAGACAGATTTCCAGGCAGCTGCGTGCACAGGGGCTGCAGATCAATTTGGTATGCAAGCCAGTGCTGTCAAAGTGGGAGGCAACGGTGTCAAAGCAAATGATGACGGGAGCTATGCTCACACAAAGGAGCAAATCCTTCCTGGTGTGAGTCCAGGTGCCTCAGAAATGTTCTCAGCCTGTGTATCTTTCCCTCTACTTTGGACCATCTTGTTTTTTTCCTTTCTGTTCCTACAAACCACAGCAGGCTCATCCAAAAACCTGTCATCTGCTTTAACAAAAGGGTGAAATAAACATCCCAGCATCATCCTCGGCAACCTGCCACCAAGAAATTGCTGCAAGATATGACAAGATGAATACTGCCTTTAAATGCTATGTGAAGAAGAAATGAATGGCTTTCACTTGGCAGAAACGGCCTAAGTGCCCTGCAGAGTTGATCTGTGGTGTCCTCTGACTGCAGCTGGATAAGGTGCCATCATGGCACGGCAGTAGTGGTGGCAGGGGTTCATGTCCCCTGCACAGTTCTGGCTGATATCCCGTGCTCTGCTCTCCCTAGAAAGAAGTGTTCTCCCCTTGTGACCCAAAGGGCTTGCTGGTCAGCCTGAGAGCCCCATTTTGATCATCTGTACCAAATCAGCATGAGCGATTGTTGGGCTGGACAGGTAGCAGATGTGGGGCTCTCCCAGGTGATGCGGAGACATCATCAGGGCAGCTGCACCTTGTTTTCTTAGATTGCCTATAAAAAAGGCCAATGGGTAGGGCATGTTCTTTGCTGCTACTGCTGCTATGTGGAGGGATTGTTCTCTGCTTACAGGTAGGAGTGTTTATTTTCTTACTTCTTTTTCCAGTCTGTGAGTAAATGAGCGTTAGGTATAAGGTGCTTAAATTAGGGCCTTTGATGACTCTGTAGGGTATGTGACTGAAGGCTTTTGTGGGGACACAGCGGCTATGGCTGGCTATGCGTCAGTCTCCCAGAGCTGGGAGATATCTCTACTGGGATCTTCTGCAAAGGACTGAGATATGTGACAGAATCTGGGTCTGCTCCTGAGCAGAGCAGTGACCGGGGGCAGTCCAGCAGTGCCCAATATGCTTCAACCAGCACAGTATCTGCCTGGGGGTCTTTTAAAATGAAGTAGTGTAGGTGCTGTCTTGTTGCTGAGCTCTCCACTGTGTCAGCCTGCTTGGTTTGATCTGTTGTTGTGCTGATACCTTTGTAATAAGTGGCTCCTTCTAAGGGAACAGTGCGGGATATGAAATGTGCTGAAATGTTGCCATTTAAAGGTGATGAATTGTTTTCCTTTCTAGTTTGCTGCTTTTAAAGCTTCTCACTGGCAAGGACCCGTTTTAAGTGCAGAAATGTAGCTACTCCTCTTGGAGAGGCTTGAGTTATTTCAACTTGGTGTCTCTAATCTCAAAAGTACATCAGAGAAATGTATAAAGGATGTAGTTTTTGTCCCAGAGATATAATCTAAGCATAGATATAGCATAACAAAAAGATGACATAACAGGAGAAGCTACTGTGGTGTCATACTGGGGTTCTGTGGCCTTTGTTAAGTTTATGAAGATTAGTGACAGTGATTCTGTGTGTGCCACTGTATGTATATATTTGTATTTGTAACCACTGCCTTACTTCTAGTTGCTGGAAACTACCCCATATATAACTTAAAGTGTAGGAGTCCTTAGTGATGATTAATGGTCATGGGGGATGAAGAGGAAAACAGACAGAAGTGTGGGCTTCCCATGCCCACCTTGTTTTTCCTCTGCTGCTCTCTGGACCCTCTGAATGCTGCACAGCTGAGTGTACTGAAATGACAGGTCACTCCTCTTGCATGTTCTCAGAAACCTGAGACCCAGTCTCTACCAGTTCATTAGGACAATAACTGCACTGAGGGGTGGAAATGCTGCCTGGAACATGCAAATTTTTGGTTTTCATAGTGACTGTGTTTAGGTTCAGTAGCTCTTATTACCATGCCTTGTTACAAAAATGCTCTTGTCTGGAGAATGGGGATAATCCCTGGTTGTCTTTATGCTAGAGGTTCTGATAATGAATTATTTAATCCTTATAGAGCACTTAGATATTTGGATACCTCTCGATAGAATCATGTATCACCTTAGCTGTCAAACCACAATAGCACCTTTTCAGCCCTGCTGTAGATGCAGCAAGAGATAGTAAAACATCCCTGCTGCCTGAAAACACTGAGTACTCTACTCTGCTTTTATGAAAGTAAACCACAACAGGTTTCAATACTCGAATGAAAAAAAAGCCTGAAAGGAGATAAGAAAGAGATAGTGAGGAGATAAATGCTAGGTTTGATGGAAGGCTTCCTGGCTGGTTGTTCTTGCCCAGGAAGTTCTTTTGAGAAGATGATTAGTGGGTTTTATGCACACTGGCAACGCTTGCTTTACCCAGTGTCATCCCATGTTCTGTGTGATCTCCTCTCCTCCCACAGGTCTGAATGCTTTGTTTGTGGTTGTGTGGACTGGGTTGCCCTTTTCTTGTGGCTGTGTGGATGAGCTTGTCCACAGTGTACTGCAAGATGGGGAAGTGGGCTGTTAGTGCTAGAACATTGCCTCCTGGGTGAGCGTATGGCAGTGGGGAGGCTTATGGCCTGGATGTGAGTCTGCAGTACCTGGAAGTTCAGTTCATTTGTTCCCTGCTGCCAAGTGTGCTGGGGCATCCTGGAACAGGTGGGAGGTCAGGCTGAGTGTGGGAGCAGCCATCCCAAGTCGCTTGCTCAATAACCTCTGGTCCCTGTGGAGAAGGGGTGATGAGGCAATCAGTTCCCATTACTCTTGTCTGTAAGCCATGGCAGGCCAGTGCCACCAAAAAACCTCTGGTTCACACTGCTATGTGGTATGTAGAACAAGGCAAACTGTCTTGGATCAGGCATGAAATGTGGATACATTTGGAAGCAAAGGTGGAAGCTAGTGCAAGTCAGATGTGAACTAGAGCAGACCAGAGTTTAGTTATTATCTGAAGCTTGGGCATGAATCTGCTCTGGAGCTTATAGTGGTTAGTACCTTGTTTACTCTTTGGATAGTTTATCTAAACTGAGATCACTTCAATTTTACCACTACAAAGAGGCATGGAATATGAAGTTTTTCATCCTGATCATCCAGAAAAGACTTTGATGTGTTCAGATGCACTGAAATCCAGCTTTAAGCTGGTTTTGGTTTTGCAGAATGATAGGCTTACTGAGCTTTCATAAACCCAGTATCCAAGTGCTCCACTTATTTTGCTTTTTGTTACCTATCTTGAAAGCAGGATTTTTTTAAGTTATGCTGAAGTGCAGCTTCAATTACATTAATAAATAATTTAATTATGACTTATTGCAAGATCCCACCCCACCAAAGACTGGCATTTAGAGGATTATGCCTGCAGGGATGAGGACAGTTCAGTTTCAGAGCTGTATCTCCTTGGTATGACTGCTCCTGATGGATTGTGAAATATATGTCCTTATTGGAGTTGCTGTTAACTTCATAATTGCTCTGTAATTACTAAAGAGAGAGAAGCTTGCACTTCTGACAGCCAGGTGCATGTATTGCTTAATCTCCATTATTGACTTGGCTCAGTTCCTGTGGGTGCTTTCCTATTTTCTCTCAGTTGTGCAACACCAAAACTGAATGGTGCGTCTGCTGTTTTGTTCCTGCTTAGGAACTAACAGCAAGAGCAAATACAGGTGAGCTTCAGAGAAACTCGAGAGGCTGCCTGCCATCGTGTGCTGGCCTGGGCTGGTTGAAGCTGCTACTGCACAGAATTCACATGGGCTGATGGGAGCAGAGCCTGGCAGTCCGACCCCTGGCAGCAGTCTGTGCTGTAGCAGACATGGCTGAGAAGAGGATGAGGGGCTGTCTACTGGACTGCTTCAGGCTTGAGTTGATTAAAGGGTTATCTCAAACTGCAATCAAGAGCAGGACAGCAGTGAGAAAACAGTGGGTTGTCAGCAGCTCCAGGAATGGTCCCTGCTGTGGGGAACTGCAATTTGTCTGTCCTGCAGTGTACTGGGTCAGAGCTGATGCAAAATATCATAATTTGTCAGACTTTTGAGGCTTTGGAAATATTTCAGTGGCCTTGACTGCATGTACTGGCATTTTAATAGAGCTCAGTGCAAGGACTTTTTGATGTAATCAGCCAGCAGGTAAGCCTGATAAGAGAATGTGAACCCAGTGCCTCTCTCTGGGTCAGCAATGGAGATGTACCATCCTTCTCTTCATCTGAAGAGCCCCAAGTGAGCAGCAAGGGATCTTTTTGGGCACAGTGCTACCTGAATCTTTGTGCTTTTGCTTACATGTGATTTTTTTTTTCTCTCTCTGTCTTTTTTCTTTTCCAGAGGAATAAGTGTTTCTGGAGTATGGTATTGTCAGCTCTTGACTCCCCAGGAAAGCAGGAAGCAGTGAAACTGCTTTCTCCAAATATGACTTGCATATCAGGCCTGCAGGGCTTCTTTTAGCACCTGGCCCCAGGGGATGTGTGTGCCTGGCTCCTTGGTGCCACTGCAAGCTGCTGTCACCTGTTTGCTCTGCTCTCCTTCTGTGGGGGGGAGATGTGTCTAACCCACTTGGGATGTGGAGTCCAAAATTTGGAAGCTGTTTGTGTCAGTTGTCCCTTCTGTCATGGTTTTGAGGTCAGATGATGCCAGTGTGTTCTTCTGCTCCTCATCCTCAGTGGACTGAATGCACTTGACCTGCCTTGCCCTGCTAGTTCTCAGCAATCTTCTTGTCCATGCAGGGTATGTGAAACAGAAGACTGTCTGCTTCCTGCCTCCATATTTTGTGTAATAATAGGTGAGCTTTCTGGTTGCTGCAGCTCCTCTTTTCCCATTTCCCCTCTCATCACTACCTATTTTCTGCTGAGGAGATTTTAGACATGAGATAAAGCAAAACACAGACACGTATCAAGCAGTGCTGTGCAAGAGCAGGAGGGGAATTTTTAATTTCAGTAAACAGTCGAGTCTTCAAGGCCTCTCAGTGCAGTTCTAGGAAACACTTTGAACTGGAGAAGGATATGAGACTTTCTGCATGACTCATGCTATTAGTAGACTGCCAGTTTTGCAGCCTGAGAGACTGATAACACCACAGAGCAGGTGCAGTGGTGGTGCTGGGGCCTCACAGTGCAGGCAGGTAGCTGCCCTAGGGCTGCTGTGGGGACACATGGTTCCATGTGTGAGGAAATCCTTATCTTCTCACCTCTGCAGCTCACTAGCTCCAGGAATTGGACTCTGTGGAGATGGGGATAGGGGCTCTGTGCATGGTAGCGACTGCACCTTAATGTGAGACTGCAGATGTAGTGGGAACAGGGAAGAGAAAGCCAGTCTGGGGAGGCTGGAGGCTATGAGGGAGACCTGGGCAGAAGCAGCTGCATACTGTAGGGTGAGAAAATAAATTTAATGTATGCATGGATACATCTTGATATGGGGGTGGTGGGCATTTTTCTCAGTATGTGGGAGCTGGAGGGAAGCTTTGCATGCAGCTGTTCTGTGCGTGATGACTTGTTATTACTGCTGCACCTTCGCTTCCAGTAAATTTATGGCTTCTCATGCAACTTCTGCCAGTAAATGGAAGTGGCAGGATTGGGAAGTGGGGAAGAGATGCAAATACAGCATGACTGGGCTTTGTCAGATACAGTTGCAGGATAGTTAATGGCTTAGACTGGGGTCAATGCCTCAGTCTCGGTGAAACTTTGCCATAACTCACAACATGCTTGCTTTTGGAGCTGTAACACTTTTCCTTTCCTCCTGGTTGTGACATGGTCTTACATATTGCCCCTTCAGATACCATGTCCAGGTGCCTTCTGCATATATGTAGAGGAAGTGC